AGGGCCATTTATTATTTTTTTCAAAATTAATATACTGAGCATCTGTTATACACAGAATACAACACTAAAAGCAATAAATGATATCAAGGAAAGTTATAGGCTGGGCCTTCACAACTTCAGGTAACTGGAATAACTGAGCATGAAAGATAGAAATTAGAGAGGAGGCTATAGAAGAATCAAGCAGGGAGCAGATCCATTTCTTAAAAACTTTCTGATAAGAAAAAAGAATGTAAAGATATTTGTATAGCACCTAGTAAGGAATAACGGATAAAATTATAGACATCTATGTATGACATGATGAAAGAAATATATAAAACTGGAGTCTCCAGCCAACAGCCAGTGACAAAACAAGGTCGGCCAATTACCGCATGAGTGAACTTGAATGTGGGTCCTTTGTTCCCAGTGAATCTTGAGATGACTGAAGTCCTGGTTAACAGCTTGATGGCAAGCTCATGAGAGACCTGAGCCAAACTGCATCTAAACCACTCCTGGATTCCTGTCCCACTGACACTGTGAGATAACAAATGTTGTTTTAAGTGGCTATGTTTTAGGAAAATTTGTTACGCAGCAACTGATAACTCATATATAAACCAAATGACCACCAATGGGAGAATGGATATATAAAATCTGTTCTATTTGTACAATGAATCTAGCAATACAAAAGAATGAAGTGTTGCTACACAAAACAATACAGGTGCATCTCTGGTCCAATAATGAACAAAAGAAATCAAGCTCAAAAGAACATATATTATAGGGTTCTTTCTATATCATGTTTAAAAATATTAAACAAAACTTATATATGTAGACAGAAGTCTAACTAATGGCTTCCTTGAGGAGTACTGGCTGGGAAGGAACAGGGAGGATCCTTTAGGAATCTTTAGGATCGTAAATCCACATTTAGGAATTTGGAAATCTGTTGTATATTCATCTTTGAGGCATTTATATCAAGTACATAGCAAAAATTTAGCAAGCTTTTTACGTAACTTTTGTATACTTTATTGTAGATATATTCTATCTCAATAAAAATAAATGTTTTAGGATGTAAAGTATATTTTGAAAATATTATATTTTCAAATTGGGCCTATGTTGCCTATGTCAACTTGAAGCACAACTGGTATCATCTGCAGTGGAATATATAGATGTAAAAATTTAATTTTACATCTATATATTCTGAAATGATTACTAAGGTAGTACTATAGCTTGCGATAGTTAATTTTATGTGTCAACTTGACAAGACTAAGGTATAATAGCTGGTAAGACATATTTCTGTGTGTATGTGTGTGTGTGTGTTTCTAGGAAAGATTAGCATATGAATTGACAGATTAAGTAAAGATTTCCCTCACCAATGTGCATGGGAATCATCTAATCCACTGAGGGCTTGAATAGAACCAAAAGGTGATGAAAGGGCTAATTTGTTCATTGCTTGGGCTGGGTCCTGCATCTTGTCTTGCCTCAGTACATCAGCACTCCTTGTTCTCAGGCCTTCAGACTTGAACTAGGACTTACATCACTGGCTCCCTTGATCCTCAGGTTTTCTGGTTTAGACTGGAACTACACCACAGCTTTTCCTGGGCCTCTAGCTTACAGGAAGCAGATTGTGGAATTTCTTTGCTTTCATAATTGTGTGAGCCAATCCCTCATAATATATGTATTTTTCTACGTATCTATATAAATTCTGTTGATTCTGTTTTTCTAGAGAATCCTGATTAATCCAGGCTTTTCAAGTCATAAATATATAGAGGTACTTAGAAAGATCACAATAAATTTTATTGCTCAAGCAGAACACAAAAGGTGATAATGGAACAGAGCACAGATCACAGAATCCTGAGAGAAACCTGCGTAAAAGGACCAGGCAGGGAAAAACAAGTTTCAGTGGAGGCCAAGTAGTGCCAAAGGAAAATCAAGGGACTGCCAGTTCATAGAAACCAAAGTCTCTTGGTTGTTTTTCAGTTAGAAGGGAGAGGTCAACTGCATCTTATACTGCAGGATAGTCAGGTTAGTAAAGACTGAATACAATCATTTAAGTCATTTACTGAGAGATCATTTCTGACCATGAAGAAAGTAGTTCCCTTTAGGAAGGGTAAGCTATAGTTATCTCTAAAAGATCTTGTGCAGAAGTGATTTTCAATTCATAATATAAAATAGAATCACATATCAGTAAGTTTCTGGTTGACACAAAATCTTCCATAATTATATATTGGCAGTCCATCCGAACACACAAAACCTGTCATACTTAGATCAGTAAAATAAAGTTGAATTCAGGCAAACTGTTATTGTCAAAATATTGCCAAATACCTCTTTAGACTGAATGTAATACTTTTCAGAGGGAGGGCATAGCTCAGTGGTAGAGTGTATGCCTAGCATCCACAGGGTCCTGGGTTCAATCCCCAGTACCACCATTAAAAATAAGTAAATAAATATAATTACTTCACGCCTCCTCCCTGCCTAAAAACCACCTGAATGTAATACTCTTCAATTTGTTACATTGGTATGTTATAGTTACAAAATTTCCATCTTGGGAGTTTAGAGGCTTCACAAACTAAATAATACTGTAAATATGTATTGTCAATTCCCCCACCTTTCGTGAGAACTGATCTACCATATTTCCAGGTGCAGTGTGGGAAATCCAGTTGAACTGTACTTGCTATTACTGACGCATTTCCTATTTCAATGGGAAAAATAATATGGCAAAATGATATGCTGCTGTCATTCAAAAGAAAGGGGAGATATTTGGGGAAACCAGTCCTTATTTCATCACTTTAGATTATTGCTTCTATACGTGTGAAGTTCGATTTATCTTTTCTTAGGAAACCTTGCTTCTTTTACAGGCTCAAATAACTCATGAAGCTATTTCCACCCCAAATACCAGCCCAGACAATCTTCTCCTCCTACACAACTAGTAGGAGACATATAGAGAATGAAGTGACAGAGGAAATATGCGTTATGTGTCACAACAAGGTGGAGAAGGACCTCTAAGAAAGAGTGTTTTATCTCAGAGCAGCTCCAGCTTAGCATCCTGTGACAAAACTGTAGGCTGTGGGATTAGATGTAGCTCTGAAGACTCTTATTCTAGTTAACTTGTAATAAGCTTCTGAGAAGCTAGCTATTGCCCCAGACCTTCTTAAGCTATAATTTAGTATTACGCTCAAGAGCAAAGTATTTATTGGACCACCTAAATACAATAAAGAAAACTATTTGATTCTGGTTACAGTGTAAATGGACTATCTCCCCTCCCCACCCCACACAAAATAGCTAACCAACTTAATATTGCTGATGTCTGTATATTAAAGTTTACAAAAGTTCTCATTTGTCTTATCCATATGGTTTAGTTATTGTATTCAGTGCAATTTTCATATTATACAAAAGGAAACATCCAACATAGTGAAAATGTAAAGTTTTGAAGTTTTCATAATATGTACTAAAGGTAAACAGATTATTTTACTTTTCAGTCATATTTATATGTTTGTTTATATAGTTTGGTGATTTTTAATATTGAATATTAATAAATACATTTTGCTTCTTTAGGATCAGGTTTAGCATTATAAATCTCAACAGTTATATCTTAAAGATAAATGTTAGGTACATGAGGAAAATCCTGACAGGTTATCTGAGCTTATGGATATTTGCTTAGAATGGGAAAGATAGACGTTAGTCAACTAATTATAAAAGTCAGTCTAATTGAATATGTAAGGAGTATTTTGAAGATTCACTAGTGAGTTTTCATTTAGTTTAGGACATTAGAGAAGGCTTCTGTGAGCTAATCATGTTTGTACTGAGGTCTGAGGAATTAAACGACATTACCCAGGTGAAGAGAAGAAGACTGTAGACAGATTCTAAGGGCACGTATGTGGTAAATAACACAGCACTGAGTGAGAGATGGATATGAGGGTGTGAGAAAGAAGGATGTGACAAGGATAACTTGGAGTTTTATTGCTTATGTTACTGGAAGGATGGTGATGCCATTTGTTGTAACAGGTTATTGTGGAAGAAGTAACTTACTAGTTTTGAAGGGGCTGAAGTCCATGAATTTAGTTTTTATTTATTGGCTTCGGTATGTGTTTTAACATCAGTGACATGTCAAAAACTAATTGGATATCTGAGTCTAAAGTTCAGGGGATATATCTAAGCTGGGTATATATAAACTTGAGAGTCACCTGCATTTAAGTAGAAACTGAGGGCTTTAATATAAATGAGGTAAACCATGGAAGGAGTACACAGTGTGATGAGAAAAAGCATATCGACCTGTGTTTGGGAAACTGAAAATATCTAGTAGCTTAGCAGAAGAGGATAAATAAGCATGCAAATGAGACATGTGCTGAGCAACCAGAGAGGAAGGTGGGCCTTCAGAAAAGGGTGGTGTCAATGAAGTCAAAGACAGAGCTTTTCAAGGAACTAACTGACTCTAATAGTTGGGACTAGTCCATGCATGGCTGAATGGCAAAGTAAGAGAAGGACTGAAAAATAACCATTGGTTATAAGAACATGGAAGTTATAGGTGACCTCCAGTGTTGCTTTTGTGGAGTGACTGGGACAGACTGCAGTTAGAGTAGTGCGGAGGCTGTGAAAATGCATTTCACAGATTTGCTCTTGCAGGAATGTGTTTGGCAGCTACAAGTACCCTTTGCATTCACTACTGTGTTTACACTAGGGCCATGCTTGCTGTGGGGTTCTCGTAGCCAGTAACTGAGCGTGTCAGGGTAATAAAGAAAGTCTATTCAAGGGAGAAGGGCATAGCTCAGTAGGAGGGTGCATGCTTAGCATGCACAAGGTCCAGGGTTCACTCCTCAGTACTGCTATTAATAAATAAATAAATAAATAAACCTAATTACTTCCCTCCTCAAAAAAAGAAGGAAAGCCTATTCATGTGAGATGTGGAATTCCTCCAACAGGCACCTTTCATCCAAGGACAGCCCATTGGACTGGTCTCACCTTTCTTGGAACTTGCTGCAGTCTAATACTTTCCTTATCTAATCGTTCTTCCTTACCTCTCTCCTTCCACAGGTGAGAGACTTGCATCGCAGTCTGATGCACTGGGAATGATCTGAGAAAACACGTGGTAAGATGGAACTGGCTCATTACCCCCGGCAGCTGAAATGGGCTTCATCCTGTGTGGTAGGTGGGGCACAAATAGACCCTGACAGAAGGTGCTGCTCAGGTGGTAAACGTTTCATGGGAGGCTACGTGGGAAAACATCCTGGTGCAAGGGAAAGCCCTCATTGCTGTGATGGTTCAGGAATGGAAAGGTGAGTGGGGGAGAATGTCTGGAAGGACAGCAGAGTTGGCTCCTTACTGCTGAGTTGTACTCCTTGCCTGCCTTGAGAAAAGATCTTGGTGCTATTTATTTGCGTTTTTGTGCATGTGGGAAATGAAGAGAGTTATGACGAAATGCCCTCTGAGAGGCTGAGATGGTTTCAGAATACTCCTCACTCTTCTCTATACTATTGAAAATGTATATGTTATTATTCTAGAGCTAGAAGTCTGTCTTCAGAAGAAAATAGGACCCAAGAACATGGTTAAATGCTTCATTTGGCCACAAGTGGATTCTAAGACAAATTACTGGTCTAATTTTAGAATGTTATATTTAGTATAAAATATTTTTGCCATTTTATAGATAGTGGAGTTTATTTTTTATTGGATTGTGTTTGAGAAGATCTCTAGGGTGATGAGGATGGTATGAAGTGACTAGAGGTAGTGTTTTGTGAATACATGGCTTGAAATTAAAAATAAGTCAAAAGCATCTTTAACGAAGATTGTACTGCCTTACCAGAAATGAATAAAATCATCACTGCTCCCAAAGCAGAGGAAACATAGATCTGGGATAAATATTATCTGGAATCTGCAATTTAATTTTCAAGTAGTAACTCTGAATTCAGATGGAATTATATGAGTTTAGCCTCCACAAAAACAAAATCAAATCAAGCAGAACAGAACATTCAGAGAACTTAGGACCATTTGTATGGCTCAAGAGAATTAGAGTTAGAAAAATATTTTTTAAAGCTGATTCTACAGATAAAGTGTAGGATATTTTCAAGTTTATGAGAATACATTCATATTTACATGAAAATATCAATTTGGCTTATATTTGGATATACAAATAGGTATTAACAATGTCTCATCCATTCTTAACCTTTGATAGTCTCTCTATTCAAATGATAAGTATACAATTACAAAGGACAGCTATATATTATTCTAATAAGAATAGTTCAAGAAATTAATAAAAATGGTCAAATTTACATACATGTCATGAATGAAATTTATCATAAGAAGGAAATCAACTAACACAATGAAATGTGTGTAGTATATATGAACATATGTAGAGTATTCAAACTGTAAAATTTTGATCATAAAATCTGAATATGAATATCTTCTAATAATATAATCAATAGGCTATCTCATTTCACTATGCAGCCAACATGGGCAAAGTGCTTCCATAGTCATTATTACACTAAATATATATCCAAATTTTTCATTTTTGTTGACTTCATAGATACTACATAAAACTTTAATAGAAGACTGAAGCTGGATCATATTCACACTTAAGAGATACACATTTAATGAGATTTAGTCTTTCTGTATTTTTCTGAAAAGGTAGAACATAATTTATTTGTTTTCAAATACTGGTTGCATTATGTCTCTAGTTTAACAAGTACAAGAAACTTGCACTTTAATATGTTAGAGAAGAGTTCTGTTCTGAACCAGAGTCCTCTCTGTGTTCTATGTTCTCATGTTCCCTGATCAAAAACCTTAGTTTTTTTCCATATATGAATCTCAGCCTAAGATTTATGATTCCTCCAAATGTATCTCTTGCTTACAAATATTTTCAATCACATTTTCATTAAACATCCCTCTACAAATTCTGTCTCATAGACTTAACACTGCCCAATGTGTTAGCAACTATCCACATATGCAGCTATCTAAAATTAAATTTAATTAAAATTAAATAAAATTAAAGTTCCAGTTCTTTTAGTCACACTAGCCACATTTTGAGTGTTCAACAGCCACGTGTGTCTGTCGTCTTCCATACTGGATAATTCAGGCATACAACATTTCTGAAATCACAAAAAGTTATATTGGAAGGGACGGATATAGACAATAACATTCAATCATCATTTATCCATTTATGTGGCCATTAACTGATATTTTAATGAATACTTGTCGTGTATCAGGCACTGTCTCTAGTTCCAAGGGTATGGAAATGGGTAAAATGAATAGTGCCTGCTTTCATCAGGCTTACCTTCTCAAAACTGAGACAGAAATAAAATATTAACCAACCAAAACTGTATGCTGTTAAAATCAAAAGCAAATGAAGACCAGCCTTGAAAATTCCTTTAGCAGAAACACCGGTTTAGTCATAAAAGTAAAGCTTAATTTAGCTTATTATGCAAGACTGAGTGGACTTAAGTCATTTCTTATTTATCCCTCCTGAAATCACAGGCAAAACCTAAACCTTTTCCCAAGGATGATATGAGGTAACCACTAACCAATTCCCTATCACTTAAGAAAATTCTAGTAGTATAACCAATCACTGTGACAAATAGTCATTACTCTCTCACCATATAAGCTGTTTTACACCAATACATCCTTGAGCCTCATTCTGTGTTTTGGTTTGAGTTCTCCCAGTTCACAAACTGTCTTTTCTTTGTCTGAACAATAAACTTTTACTAATTGCTCCTTCTGTGATTCATCGGTTTTACTTCTGTTATTTCTGACAATGATGTACAGGATATGATGACCTATAAAGTGGTAGAGTCTAAGCCAGAAAAAAGAAAAAATCAATCTAGACTAGTGGGAGAGAGTGGTGACGAGAAAATACTGCCCTGAAGAAACGTTTCCTGAAAAGTAAGTGTGAGTTATCCAGGTAGGAAAAAGTTAGGGATCACCACTATGAAAGGCATCGGGGGGAAGAGCAGTTGACTTTGGGTATAGAAAATTGCTTGGGTAAAAGCTCTAATGCAGGAAAAACTGCTGTGTGCTTGAAGAATAGTCATAAAGCTTTATTGCTAAACTATTTGAGAGAGGATGGTATCAGGTCAGAAGAAAAAAAAAAACCAACAAAAAACAAAAATCGGACCAGACCACACAGGCTGAGGTTGGTCATGGATGGCCAAGCCTGACATATAAATATTTCAAGAGAGATCCGTTAAAGCTACAAGAAGTTGGACCTGATTATTTAACGGTGCAGAGTGAGAAACTTCTTACATGGTAATAACGTGGATCTTCACGTGCTGACACGTATCCCCACCCCCCGCCCCTGAATGATACATGGTAAAGAGTGAACCTGTCTTCATTCTCTTACACTTGATGGACTCCGTATGCCACGTACACGGCTGGCCTCTGCACTTCAGGTGTGCCCCTGTGAGAAGTAAGACGGCCCCAAGGAGACAGAGGTGTGCATTCTAGCATAGATCCCTGGTCTTGGGTAGGTCTTTATTCTCCATCTTTGCTGGTTGCATCAGTTAGGCTCAGGCAGGAAAACAGAAACCACACCTGCTATTGTAACAGAGAGAGTGTAATACAGGGAACTGATTGAACAACTGCGGCACGGAGCTGTCCACCAGCGCTGCTGCTGCTGCTGCAGTCCAATGTGATACTTGAGGTGGGGCCACAGAGGCTTCCGATACAAGCAGCGGTGCGTCCAGGACTCTCCCAGGTGGTACTGCTTTATTCTGTCTCCACATGCACAGGTAATAGCTATTCCAAACAAACGGGGTGATCAGTTTAAATGAAATCTCTCTTGTCTGACCGTCATCATTGCTAACTGGTGCCAGACTAGAAGATTTAGAACTCATTTTCTTGGCCCTGAAGCTTTATAAATTCGCTTGTGATTTTAGCAAATTCGGTAGATTTCTACTTTGATTGCTTTTCAATGAAAAAGCAATTTTAGCCCTTGCTGACCCCAGCAGGGACAAGTACAACTAAGAAGTGTATGATGGGTCAGGGAGGAGGAGATTAAGAGTGCCACTTTCTAAGACGGAGAAAATAGATCTATGTTTGCTAGGGGTATAACAAGCCGAGTTAAAAACTGACAGTTGTTCTATGGAATGGACCAATTCCTATGTGGAAATAATTAGAAGGCAATTTGGGTTTACTGATAAATACAGAGCTCAAGCGAAAAGTCCGTCCTCACTATATAGATAAAGCTGTTAGAGCGACTGAGATACCATAGGGAAAAAATGAAGTTTTCCCCAGGTTAAACACGGTTTCTGCGGAACACCAAAATTTAGGAGCTGTGACGGGGGAAAAGCTCACTTAAGAATAAAAGAGCAACTAGAAAGATAAGAAAACACCTGGAGAAATTTGTGTCACAGAAATCAAGGAAGAAGTTTCAAGAATGCAAACTATGGAGAAAATTGCCTTCAACATCAAACGCTGCAGTGGTAAGAAATGTTCTGTGAAGAATCCACCAGATTTAACTAGGACACTAGTGATAGTTTGAGCAGTAGAGGATGAAACGAGATTTCACTGGCTTGAGTGTGAATGTCAAATGAAGAAGTAAAGCCAATGAGATGAGATCATCCTTTTCTTACAACAGCAGCTATTCGAATGTTGCGATGGTTTGAACGTTAGAAGAAAGAGCAGGGCAGTGGGGGAAGGGCGTGGGGATACAGGCAGGGCATTAGCAATTTGAACAACTTCATATGCTACGAATATTTATCCTTAACCTACAGTTTTGTTTTGTTTTTTTAGTGTACTCGTTCCACCAGAAACTATCTTGGGAATAATAGTAAACTTGGCCATTATCTCTAGATTTAGTGGAATCCTTGTTGATGTTTTGGAGATTGATTTCTGTCATCATGTTCTATATTAATTAATTGCGTTGTTTTGGAAGCTGAAGAATTAGAACACCAAACATTTTTTTAAATGTTTTTCAAAAATGTCCCTTTCTCATTCTAGTCAAAACACTTTTAAGTCAAACTTAGGTATGACATGTGTTGCTGAAAGATCGGCCCCTGTCCCTGACAAGTCAGATAACTCATAGACAGGGTCTTGGAGCTTAGAAGAAAAGAGACAGCTTTATTGCTTTGCTAGGCAAAGGGGACCTACAACAGGCTAGTG